GGTAGAAGGGAAAATAAGAAATCCGCAAGCGAAGAGACCGTGAGAACCGGTACAAGCAGACTGGTATTGGAAATAAACACAGCTATGTGAGAGCAGTGAAGGGAGGGGGGGCAAGTCTACATGGGAAATCATTGGATTGGGAGGGGTGAAAGGGCTGGAAACAGAAGCAAGGTTTTGTATAAGATATTGTGTCGGGGGAGAGAAAGGCTGGGGGGTGGGGTGGGGGGTTGCTATGTTAGTCGGTCGTGGCCTGTGTAGCCTTGTTCCTCCGAAACGTCGGTTAACACCACGTCTACACGGTGCCACATCCCAGAAGACTGCTTTCTTCACAGAGACTAGTGGTTTAGTTTCCCCAACATGAGTTTCATAAAATTCTGGGAATTTCGTGCTTAGGTTAGCATCTATCATGTTCCAAAGAAGCTCCCGTCTCCATGATGTTTGGCAATTATATCAACCACCAGCGCTTACTTCGAAATAAATATTTCAGGATGAATCTGAGTGCATTTCAAGTTGAGAGATGTAGATTTGTACAGGATCCGTATGTTGCATAAAACGCTAAGTTTCCTGTGAAAGGGGTTTCATGTGACACTGAAGTAGCAGATTTCTGTGCCTAATTTTAAGCATAGTTTTTGTGTATCATATGGTCTGAGGTCAAGAGAAGTGTAACCACAGTCAAAAGAGTCATTCAGAGACGAGCATTTCCGTGATAAGTGCCGTACAACTCGCGGAATACACCGGTTCGTCTTGCAGTAACAAGAGAATGTTAACCGATTTGACAGTCATAGGATTGGCATATTGTCACGTGTTTATGGTTCCGTGACTAATAATAATGGGTTTTGGGTTTATTGACTCCTTCGTTTACAATCATTCTTAATCACAATCATTTACAACAGCTCACAATCGAAATGCAAAAAATTTTGTGAAGACTTGTAGTGCCTACGGCTACCGTCATTTTTATCTCTGCATTGGTGCTCGTGCACTCTGTTTCGGTGGCTAGGTTTGTAGCATAAATTTATACCTCCCTTCTTATACTAGTTCCACGCATGTGCTTTCTTTATTACAAATTTATTGTGTATTTTTTTATTACCTCTCTCCGAATTAGCTTTGTCTCGGGTAATTAAATACCTTTAGTGATTGTGACATTGGTTTCCCAGTGACTGAGGTTAGCTCTTACTAAGGGACCCAACAGAAAGATGTTTCCCCCCCTCACCTGATGACGGAAAAAGATATCAATTTTTCCGAAACGTTGTGTTTTCTAGTGTTTAGAATACCGGACGATGGACAAAGTCCGAAAGCCCAGTAATAATGAGTATTATACTCCATTGTGAGAACCCTTCGGGATCTACTTGTAGGGCAAGAGTTTATCGAAACAGAAGCCATGTATATCTAGATTCAGGCAGGAGGGGAATGGAATATTAAATTTGATAATAATAATAATAATAATAAGTCCTCTATATTGTGATTCATAGTGTCCGCACTTGAGTACTTGTGAATCTTACGTTTCCAGCTTTCGGCGCCGGATTTAATTTCCTGTCGATTTTCTCCTGCTTCATTTTCGTCAGTCAGGTTAGGAACTTCTGTTTCTTCGTTTGTTTGTATAGAGGAGAGGGTCTCCAGCTATGTAATGGAACTGACCATGGGGACGGGGTCCGTTTCTACTGCAGAATACACTACAGTACATTATAGTGTTCATATCACCTTATCTACTAGCTGAAACGAAGTTCACTACTGAACAGCCTGTGTTTATTGTCGAAACTTTTTCAAGGAAAAAATCTTACAGAAAATGTATCCGTAAGTTTCATCGTAAATTAGGCGACTCGTCAGTTCCCAAAAAGTCGTGTGTATCCAAGCTTGTGAAAAAGTGGCGGGTCACAGGTTCAGTGTGTGACATAAAGAAACAATCGAAGAGGATTGTGCTGACCGAAGACAAGAGGTCCCCTTTGCACGCCTGGTAGTGCATATGTTTGCGTCTGAAACTGGTCGATATATTTTGATTAAATTTGGCATTAGGCTCTGCTTTAAACTATCACAGATAATTTTATTTTCTGTAGTTTATCAGTAACTAACACTATATGGTGTCAAATAGCGCTTTCAAACCAAGACTCTCCGATGCATTCTGAACGCACCCAGGTACATAAACAACCACAGGATCCACGACTATCTACAAATGAACACAGCGCTCAGTGAAACAAAAAAGCGGAATAACAAATACTTAAGAAAATTAGAAAACCACACAAATGCACTAACAGTGAACCTACTAGACAATAGCGAGATTACAAACAAATTGAAAAGGTACACCGTCCCAACTCTACCAGACAGACCTTAGTACGTTAAACCCCAATACAAGAATTAAAATGATACCTAAGTGAACAAAAAAAGAGTATATGAGTTACGTCACGGGGCATAACTCGTTCACGTGAGCGTACTTGTTGAACATATATATTGACTGCATATTCTGCACAGTATGTGTAATAAATGTGTTGGAAAAAATACCAGAAAGACAATGAACAATGAATGTAAAAGTATGTAAGGAAGTGGTCGTGGCTGAGGTAATATTTCGGATTTTTTTCCAGAAGGGCTTAGAAATATTACGGCCGGACACCTTCGGAGTTCATGTCAGAAGCGATAAAGCTTGGTCCAGTTTGAAAAGCAAATTTTCGTTTTGGTGCGTAAGTTTCCTGTATAAACGTCTAATTTACATCACGTTCAAAGTGAAATTACAGATTCTGTTGGGGGCGAAAAAACGGCTTGTTGTACAGAAAACAATTTGCGTTTTATTTTGTTCCTCTCCGAGGACTAGAATGCATTCATGCTGGCCACAGCAGTGGGCACTCCCTTCTATCCCGTCACTTCCTTATCTCCCACATTAGCTCCTGCTTTACACAAGTTACACAGATAATGAATACGAAATAATACTAAAAAGAGGCTTGTCTGGAGGTAAAGCTCCAGGCTCATATTCGTTAGGTCATCGGTTCGAAACTCCGCCGGGACTTTGAGTGTATCAGCTGCCCTCCCCAGTTCCTCCATGTAATGCTGTAATAATACGTCAACACTGATCTGTCACAGCACCATCCGACACTGTACAGGCTCGATATTGAAATCATGTTTAAATAACCTAGGAGAAAAACGAATTAAACAGTGATTTATTCATATTGCAACTTCGCAGTAACGGACCAGCGCAGAATATGTTTCTAACTTCCCCCACGAAGCGTGGAGGCGCTGCTGTACGGGTGGATGAGTCACGTACACCACTGAGTTATCGGTCGCCGTCCGGGCGCCGTGTGTTGTAGTGGCAGTGGACGGCTGCTGCACGGCACCCGGACGGCATTTTGCCGTCACCGTGTAATGTGAAAGGGGCCATGCTCTTCTTCACTCCACTGAAAGAATGTCGCCGTTCGAGTTTTTGCCGTGCGGTCAAAACCGTATAGTGTGAAAAGAGCCTAACTTGTCGGGTCACCGCGCAGAGCAAGACAGGGATACTAAGTTGCGATGTTTCTATGCATTTTATATTAAGATTAATTTGCAACGAATATTGTTAAGTACATTACATATATCCCAAGTAGTTCGATGGCTCATTGACACGTGCTTGTCAGGTGCTATAGCTAACGTCATCCGAAAAATGTTTGGTATTGTGTCAATGGACAGGTATCCGCAATTAATTGACATTATCAATGATATACCTACAGTATTCCTGGAAGCACGCGGTAGCGTAGTTTACTGAGACATTATGCTACTAGCCGGAAGTTAGCGGGTTCGATTCCTGATGTGGTCATTGGACTTTTCAATTGACTCAGCCTCTAACATAAATGAGCACCAGGAATCTTCTTAGAAGTGAAGGGTGGCCGACGCGTAAAACTGACAACCTCGCCGTCATCTGTGAGCCAATTGTACATAAATTGTAGCAGCCTCGACGTCTCAAAACCCTATGGGCATCCGCGGCCTGTTAATATACAATATTTTTAAGAATGTATCTGGTAACATGTATTATACCAATATATCAAAACGCAACTCCCTTACCACTAACAAGAAAAGTCCCGGGTCATAAATATGAAGCCCCAATTTAAAAACCGTGTATATGATAATGTGCTGCCTGCTCATGACCGTCACACGCCTAATGAAGCAGTGATAGATGATATGACGATATAAACTTATGAACCAAAAGGACTCGAAGGAATTCCTGTTTCAGCACAACTGTGTCTATCCCAAATGTCACATGGAGTCCCTCCGGGAGAGAACCAGAGACTCTACAGTGAGAAGTGAGCGTCTAGCCTTAGCCTGAGCCACCACACGGCCACTCGACTCTCTCCTGTGTTACAGAGTGTCTATAGGGAGAGTTCCATAACACACAGGGCTGGAATGTCATTACTAAACGATGTTGAGAATGAAATGATTACACGTAACTTTGACTGTGGTCTGCAGCCGCTGAAGCAACTTCAGTTTCTTTCGGAGTTTGTGACGATGGTTCATTGGTACAACTGTTATATTTCTGGACTTTATCCATCAGACTCTTTTGGTCTAAAATACCATCCTGTTTAATTTGAAAACACAGAAGGTTTCGGAGAAAGAATTCTGTCTTCGTCTTCAGGTAAAACCTACTCAGTTGGGCCCAATCAATAGAGCTAGTCCCCATCTTGTATCGGAAACTTATTCTGTCTCCTTCTTCATGTAAATCCTAGCTCTGTCGGTTGGGCCCAACTTAGTAGGTTTTACCTGAAGACGGAAACAGAATTCCGAAATGTTGTGTTCTTTCGAGATGCTGTACTTTCTGCGTCGAGGAGGCTACAGTAAAGAGCACATCTGACCGAGAGCTCCTGCCTCATTCATTTGCCATTCATAACATACCACAGCAGCAACGTCCCGCAGTTCTGCATTACAGAGTGTGTTCGTAAGTGGGGTTGCTAGCGTGGGGGGAATTTGTTGGCTGAGGATCACTCTCAGGTTGGGAGGGCGGGCGGGGTGCAGTCTGAGGATGATGCGAGTAGTCACGAGGGCGCCGCCCCTACTCCTAGACTAGAATACCAAGTTTCCACCGATGCGGAACACAGAGTTTCAAGAAGAAGCGAAGAAAATGAGAAGGAGCAGGATAATAGAAGATAAAGGAAGCGGCTAACAGACGAATAAGAGAGACGACACTCATTGGCACCACAGGTATGACATGCCAGTTGACATTACTGCAAAACACAAAGGTTATTACGGGTTTCCTTGTGGAGGAATTGTCTCTGTCTCCTAAAACAGGGAATTTAGTATGGTCAAGGTGAATAGATTGCGATAACGTTGAGGCTGGTAGAATTTTATAGACGTTTCGGAGGAACGTAATGTCTCCATTTTCATAGTCGTGAAGTAAACCAAGCAAGCAAGAAGCATTGACATTTCTCGTGCTTGTTCTCAGTCCCTTCATGAAACTGTCCAGATAGTAGCTACCACGACATATTTCCCACACGTCCTTTCTAATTCACGATTCACTGAACGTCTTAAAATCTGAAGCCGTTATACGAGTATAAGGCCGTTCACAGTGGCCACACGGTTTAAGCCATGAACCACCTTCGCCCTATCGAACACTGGGATCGTGTGTTCGAATGCCCCTCGAGACATGGATGTCTGTGTGCGTTTATTCTGTATTTATGTTAGCATGAGTGTAGATAGCGGCCTTGCAACGGGCTGATCCCCGGTCCAAGGAGTCCTGCCGACTGTGTACAGCATAAAGAGACTGAAAAAGCGACCAAAGCCCAGACGGTCTATAGAGCCGTAGATAGATAGATAGATAGACAGGCAGACAGACAGACAGACAAATAGATAGTTCAGATACTTTGAGTCGGTTGTATTTAGACTATGTTATTAAAGCAAAGAAGAGCAAATGAAAATAAATCCCCATTACTGTGCCGATATTTTGAAGCAGAATTCATTATAATGTTAAGAGTATTATGTTCTCATATTTGAAGCCGTGTATTCCGGTATCCAAGCAACAGGCAGAGACTGCAGTCTGCTCCTTTGTTACTTATTGGGCTTACTCATCACCCCTGAAGATGAAGGCAACAAGTTCTTCAGGTACGTGAGTAAATTTTACCAAGTTCAGGGAACCAAATCTCCAAAGGTAGTATACATAATCTTCATAGCATCCCTACCCCAATTTTGGCACAGTTAAAATTGCAAACATTATGCTGTAAATTTATATGAGAAAACTTTTAGAATTATCTTAATACATTTCAAACAATTCTATTTCACAGAACGAATTCTATACGAAAAATGAACGATCTACATTCGTATAAACTGATACGTTGTGATGTGCAATTAATATCGACCCTGAGTAGAACTCAGATGATATTACTATGTTAGGAAGGAGAGTTCTAATTTAGGTTATGCATTGTTTTCCTTTATAATTCCTTATGTTCACTTTTATGCATCGCGTTCTGCTGCTTTGCGTAGCCCCAAACAGCCAGTTATTTATGACGTGAAAGCTGGGTCGTACATCAGCAAGAGGGTATAAAAATTTTTGTTTTTTTCTTGAAACAAAAAGAAATTAATGAGTTTCAGAATGTAAGCTCTGTGTTTGCAGCATCGATTTTGTGTATAAACTGCAGTTTAGTTGTAAATTTATTGAATTAAATATATATATTGAGGCAGTTGTGTGTGATTTATAGACGGGGTTTGGATTGAATGATAGGATTTATTGACAACTTATTCACACAACTCAAGGCTATAGGCAATACAGAGACATCGCTGATCTACACCCACTTTACATCTCACCGTTACACACGCACTAGGCCGTGCCATATCTCAGGCAGTTATTAACTGGTTTCCCACCGCGGTGGTCCGAGTTCGAGAACGCGTTATGTAATGTGGGATTTGTGGTGGACAAAGTGTCACTGAGGCAGGTTTTCTCCGAGTACTTCGGTTTTCTCTGCCAAATTTCATTCCACCAATTGCTCTACAATCACCATCGTCTATCATCTGGGGCTGGTACAATAGGCCAATATTGGCCGCAATACCAAGTGGACTCAGTCTCACCCCACTATTATTATTATTATTATTACTGGAGGGGGTGGGTTTTCCCATGCACCGCGACCAATAGTCTATTGTACATCCCCCTTTGATATTCTACCAGTCGCCATACCCTTCCGATACTGGAGCTCGCTATCAGCCCCGTTCAGGCAGCGAGGCTGGCAGTGTTACCCGATACTTCCCAATCTACCGGAGGCATTGGAAACTACTTGCTCAGAGGTCTCCTAGAGACATGAGGATCTTTTACGTGCCGTAAAGCTACGACACGGGACCCACGGCTTAAAGTCCCTCCCGGAGGACTTGCTCCCTGAATTTTTCCGCCCTTAAAAATTCCATGACCTCCGCCTGGTTTGAATCCGCGTACCTTGAGTCATGAGGTGGGAACCCACCCCACTAAGAATAATAGAAAGAAAATACATACGCATAGGGTTCTCAGTCTTCACTATTCGTCGTATCCTGGCAACGGGTTTATAACTGTATCACTGTTGCTTCAGATCACACATGAAGTCTTCTTTTCGCAGCCTACTACATTTACTCCATTATTCTGTAGCGTATTTCAATTCCTCTGCTCCCGGGCTCATGTCCTGGCAGCCTGGCATCTCGAAACTCGACTAGCTCTTCTCAACTGGCATAATTCACTGCCCTTAGCTCCTAGCAGGAATGGTGGAATCGGTGGAAGGGAGATGGGGGATCTGTGTCTGAGGAATCAATGTCTCTTTCCACGCCAACAGTTTATATTTCTTGTTTTAGGATTGTGCTGTGCCTAAGTCCCTCGGTTCTGCGGTCTCGAATTGGCCTATTGTACCAGCCACTGATGATAAATAATTATGGAGCATTCGTAGAACAATTAATATATTTATCAGGGAAAGAATAGTCATGCTTGAGGAAAATGTTCTCCCAATGCCAGTAACCACGGTGGCTCGGGCGATAACGATTCTGTCCTCATCCATAGAAACCTCAATAAGGATAGTCGTTGCCACGTTCGAGATTCGAATCTAGTGTCTCCCGAATTTGAGTCAGAAGAGTCATTGCACCAGCCAACTTGAACGGTGAGTTGCGAACATTACAGAAGAGAACAAGTTTATGTTACATATGAGGGAGAAGATTTGTGAGGAACTTTTATGGGGCGGTAACTCTGCGAAGGGATGTAAGAATCGAACTAACGAAGGTCTGAGGCAATTGTATAAAACCGCTGCTCTGGTATCAAGTTTTGAAAGGAGACGGCTGAAGTGGCTGGGATATTAATATTGTGACATGACGCCTTAGAGCCGGAATGTTTCATTGCTAGGCAACGGCTCGGTAAAAATATGTTTCCCGCGGAAATGTATAAGCACGCAACAATGGAAGAACTACCGTTTCTAAAAACGGATTGGTAAACGCACCTTGCTGGAAATGTTGTTTTCTATTAGGTCCGTGCAAAGTTGTAATAAAGAAGTAGTTGATTGGTGATCCGGTTTAGTTCAGTTCGATTCAGCAGAGCGAAATGACGTGACGTAGGTGGTTGTTTGGTGAGAGTTGACAGTTGTGGAGTGTTAGCCAACGGACAATGGGGTGGCCTCAGAAGCTTAAGAATCTGCACTGTTAGAAGCCGTTGTTAGGGAACGTATATTGAAGACAGCAGACTGGAAAAAGCTTGACGAGTGCCGTTGTGATTTGTAATGTGCGAGAATCAGTGAAAAGGTTTGTAAGAGTCCAGTAAGTGCATTCACGACTCTGTGGTCACTAATACACGTGACAATATGGGAGAACGGGAATACTTTTTAAAGAAATCCAGAAAGTTGAAAAGAAATGGAAATGGATACGTTGAAATGGCAAAAAGATGTAGAGAATGATTTACAAGAGCAGAAACTGAAGAGACGGAGGCGAAAGGGAAGAATGGGCATCTGTTGTGAAGGAGGCCAAGGCTCTTACAGGAGAGCACAGACAAGGAGAATGTAATTATTTAACGTGAGACGCGTGGTGTAGGTACCACTGCATGGCCAGAAGAAGAGACAGATGTGCTGCGCCTGTTCCCCAGCTCCTACATTCATTGCTTTGTTTCCTGGATACAAAAAGCCATAAAACATTTCACTCCTACCTTGCATGCGGGAACTGAAACGATCCCGGTACGGATATGTAGTAATCATACGAGCGTGATTACCAGGGCCCGGATTTTGATGACGTGTCATCTTTTTCTTTCCTTGTATCCTATGCGATGCTCTTAAATATATAAATCTCGGATATCAGCTGATGGTTACAGAAATGTAAATTTTATAGGTAGTTTTTGTCATTTTTTTTTTAATTTTTAGGTTTATGTTCATTTCTTCATTTTTGAGGTAATTTTTTGGACTTTTAAGGGTATTTCTTGTCATTTTTGGCCATTTTAGGGAATTTTTCTTCATATGTTTTCTGAAATGTGAATAACATGGAAGCGAAGTGTTCTTTCTTTTCTCCTTTAGGTCATTTTTCTGGATTTTTTCTGTCATTTTATTAATATTTTCAGGTTATCAAAATCCGGGCCCCGCATATTACATTTTTGGGTCATATTCTAGGTAATTTTTCTGGACTTTTCGGTCATTTTATAGGTCATTTTTTTAAATATTTTCAGGTCATCAAAATCCGGGCCCTGGTGATTACACATGGGATTTAATTCTGGATTTTCTCTTAAGAAGGCTTTCTACTCAAGAATACAACAGGATACATCAAAATGTAATTGGAAGACTAATTGCACCGAAAGATTGGCATAGGCAGAAAAAAAAAGTAAAATCTTCGCTGTTCTTAATTCAGAACAAGATCCCCGGTGCGATTGCATAGAATGCTCAGTCGGTCAAGAAGCCGATACTGATTCTGTGGAGAAGAGAAAAATCTGTGACTCTGCTGGAAACCAAACCCACGTTCGAGCCTAGTCATTATACTGACTGAGATTGGAAGTGTAATTTGGAGAAAAAAATATGCATGTTTAAGAAGTTAATTGCCTTAAGGGGCGAAAAATAATTTACCGACTCAGAAATTTACCCTCCCCCCGTGAGAGTCAAAAAATATCCAGCGGCATGATAATGCAGAACCGGTTTCAATTTGGGAAATTCAAATAAATTAATTTAATTTGAATCCATAAATTTGGACAAATATTATATGGAGCTGAACACTTTCTTCACAGAGAAATGTGTAGGTTCTCTTAATTATGGTCATAACAAATCCACAAGTCCAAGTATAAAACACACTCTACAACAGAGAACAATAAATTACTATTAGTACTGTCACGTATATGAGTGAAGGGGTTTGGATTGGTAACTGGATTTATTGAACACTTACGCATCGTAACTACAACTAACTACAGCGCTTTCGCTAATTCACACGCTCTGCAGTTGGCTACAGAAAGAACTCAGTCTTTCAGTATGCTGTATCATCACCAGTCGTTGCCTGGTAACGACTTTAGCAAAGGACGTTACCCTTCCTCGGGGTTCCCGATGCCTCGGCTAGCAGCTTCTAACAGCAACAGCTTACACCCAGTCTCCATTCTAATGGATAGGGCAGGGGTGTGAAGCTGACAACTCACCTTCAGTTAGTGTCGAGGTCAAGAAAATGTGGATACATTCACTCTCCCATACGCCTTCACGGCGTCATGCTTAATTAGTTAAGCACAGGGGACAGCTTTACTTTTTTACCAAGTGATTATCTAATGCAGCAGGATACACAAATCCAATATTATTAGTAACAATAATTCATTTTAGTGTGTAAAATTTGTATAGGAATTTGCGATTTATAGAAAGTATTTACCCGTGCCCCTTAATCCAACGAGCTGGTGAGACAGAAATAGAACATCTGTCCACTTGTCCGGCAGCTAAATGTCGCGGTTTATGAAGTATTAATCTTGGTTCGATCGCCGTCACGTGATTAGCTGATGTTACTATTACAATCACAAAAGAGGTTGGGCGAACACACGTCACGCCGCAGAGAATCAGTCCCCAAATGTAAACATGTTAAACAAAGGAACATTTTATATTGATAAGGAGCGTGTGTAATATATCCAATATGCAACGCTTGCTTCCTGGAACCTGAACGATCAACTGACTAACCGTCGCCGGCGTAGTTCTGCATGTTGCTGCTTCGAATGACGTCATACAAGAACAGAAAGTGCAGCCGCGCGCAGATTTTGGTCCACGTTCATTACGCATGCGTTATCGGCAAAAGAGTGTAAAACGGAAAAGACTAGGAAGGCCGTGTATGTCTGTCTGCTCCGAACAAATATTTTGATCATCGTCTTGAAATTAGTAAAATAAAACGCTGTGAATGTTTGGAGACCTTTACTTGTTACTTACATATTTTTTTTAATAAATTTAAAGTAGACTTATAAAATCACCATGCTACTTGTCTGTATGTGTACCATAATTTTTGAACGCAAGAGCCCACTTTTGTGACACTTGGTAAACATACCATGCCACCTGAGGCAATCTTAACAGCGTACTTCATAAATCACTGCCTTCTGTAATACCAACATTTCAGCCTCTCAAATTGTTGCGGTAGTAACTTTAATATCATTTGAATACCTGAACCGATCTTCGTGAAATTTGGTATGTATAAATGTCACGTGAAGCCGGTCACGGTAGCCGAGCGGTCTAAGGCGTGCACTGTCTTCGCTCGCTCGGAAGCCGGGATCGTGGGTTCGAATCCCACTCAGGGCATGGATGTTTGTGTGCGTTTTTCTGTGTTTGTGTACAGGTAGAGGCCTTGCGACGAGCTGATCACCCGCCCAAGGAGTCCTACCGTATGTGTAAGATCAAGAAAAACCGAAGTGAACGGAGAAGTTCATGGAGATAGGCCTAGGCCCACTGGGGCTGTAGTGCCAAGGAAAAAAAAAATGCCCCGTGATGCAGTCTCAACGGCCTACTTAATGAATCCCTCCCATCAGCAATACAAACATTGCAACCTCTAATATTACATTTTTTTTCTTACTTCATTACGTATGCATACGAAAGTGCTTTTCTACTTGACATATCAGATTCTCCATTTGTAGTGAAATGAAAGCAGGCGGTTAGTTATTCCCACAATTTCTACTTTTGTAACGGTAATCACTAGGGCCCGGATTTCTATGACACGTCATATTCTTTTCCTAGGGTTTATTCCTATTTTTAAATATAATTGTGTACGTTTCTAGTCATTCTTACAAAAATTATATCGTTTTTATTGTGCATATAAGTGCATATTTTAGAGTTTTATTGGTTTTACAGCATATTTTGGCATAATTTTGAGATAAGGTCATATTTCTGTCACTTTAGAATCAATTCTTTGATATAATGTAAAATTTTGGCTCCATAATGTTTTGTACTACAAAATCAATTTCAGACTGGACTGTTGCTTCAATGTTGTATAGAGCTCAAGTGCATGAATTTCGTATTAAAATGATGTTTTTAACTGGATTGTACTTGCAGTTACAAAGGCGAAAAGGTAATCATTTTTATTCTTAAACTCTAGTAAAAATTGTAACTAAAACTGTGAAATTATAGGTCCCATTTAATATTTAAGGTCATATTTTACACTTTTTGGTCATATTTGACGTAACTTTGGGTCATAAGTGCATGCATACATATTTACGGTTTTTAGGTAATAAAAATGCAGGCCCTAGTAATTACGCTCAGAAACATGACACGGAGTGGGAATATAACACGAAGTTTGGAAATAAAAACATTTATGTGCGCAATGTGGGACGGCTTGTGAAGTGCTTGTAATCCTTACTCCGTACTAGTTTCCATTACGGACTTGCTTGCAGAAGTTGCATCTCTGTCTCCGAAACATTGCCATCTGAAGGATAAAAACTGAACTTAATTCAGTGCTTTTACGGATAAATTATGGAACGTGACAAAAGCATGAAACTGATAAGCCAACTTTAGTGTAGACACTTTCAATACCAAATTTCACCCACATTCGTTCAGTAGTTTCTAAGTATGTGCACAGAAAAACGACTAACAAGACTTCCTCTACATGTGTTAACCTTGTACACACGACATATAAAGTCACTCAGGATTTTAGTTTATGCAGTGTAAGCAACACGAATCGTAGAGTCGGAAGAACGGAGCTTGGTGCAACTTTAAATGCGGCTATTTCCGGCTGTTGGATGTTTCAGAAAGTGTCAATTGTCCGAAGTTCGAGAATCGCGTGTTTAGTTCATCGTGTAGCAGCCAGGCTGCGCACTAGGCCGGTTTAGATTAATTTACTGACTTACGAAGCATGTGTATGTTGAAAAATTAAGCGTTTATCTGACAACATAAGAAGACGGACTCGCATTAAATGCCTATAATTTCTTGCACCAACTTTATTGTCGTTACAAGGCTTAAGCTACACAACATCCGTAGGGAATTCTTTGTTACTGTACAGTGCCCAGTATATATGTATATCCTGCATGAGAGCGTATGTATCCCACTTGATATATTGTTACAAGATGTTATATGTAAATAACATGTATGTATGTAAATAACTCATACGAGACAGTAAAGTATGTGGCTTCAGGGGTATTGTTAGGCAGAGTAAATAGGAGGAGCACCATATGCTATGTGACTTGGCTTCATTCTTCAGTCCTTCTGCTTCTTATCTGTTGAGATATCTTATTTAAAAAATGAACGCTGTGGGCCATGCAGTCTTCAATATGGGGAAGATGACTATTATTCGTTATGGGTATGTGTACACTGATTTTATGGGAAAGACTGTAAGAAAAATCTAATGGAATAGATGAAGGATGCATCCAAGCGAAATGTATTTCTAAACATAGTTAAAGCGTATTTTATGATGGAACCTGGATCAAAAATTGATGGGTAAAATGAAGACGGTTGAACCGGTTTAAAGCCAACTTTTTTCCCTTGGCATTTCCGGGGACAGCCATACTAAACTCATTGGTGGGAGTCAGAGAAGGAAGCTGCCATTCAAAGGGTAGATAATACAAGTTGTATTCATGTTACATACATTTTTATTCGTGTTACTGAACGGTATTGTCACGTGTTAGTGACTACAGACGGGGTTTGGAACGACAATCGGATGTATTGAACTTTTGAAACTCGTAACTATAATCAATTATAGCGCTAGCACTGATTGACACATCAGCAGTTTACTGTGGAACGCGCTCTCTTCTGTCTGCTGTTGATTAATTAGTCAGTTGGTTAGTGCTGTGCGTCGTGCTTTCTCAGTTACAGCCATTTCAGTGTGAACAGGTTGGATTTCTCTCACTCCGAGTCTACCATTTTATGATGTGGATGAAGCCAAGAAATTGACTATGATCCAGTTCAGTAATATTATATAAGGAACTTTTTACGGGCTGTTTTGATTGCAGCTCAAATTAAGAAGGCTCACTTACACAGACATGACATGTGCTCTCTTTGCGCATGCGCAGAAACTGCTTCCTGAATGGAATAACAACAGGGATTAACCAAAATATGTACACAGCAGATAGAAAGTGCAGAGGTGTTCACAATGTGGTTCACCCATTTTTCCGGTCGCATCACTTACCAGTGTGATTTCCACAAGCAATATTGTAACACGTATATCCGTCCTTAGGTAACAGCTAGGTAAACACGTTCCCGCGAAGAAAAGTTCTTGGCCAATGATAGGAAAAGGGCTTTTCATTGCTAGGCAACGAACAGTAAACAAGTTTCTTCAACAATAGGGGCCATGTTTTCTGTGGTTGGTCCGTGCCGAGTCTATATAAGAAGCAATGAAGACTGTTAGAGAGGATTCGTCTGGAAGACGTCGTTCAAGGCATTTCAGCAGTTGACTTGAGAGGAGTTCAAGGCACTTGAGAGACTGGTGAATTCTACATGGCTCAAGGGAAGATCATAAGAGTAACGGAGATAACAGACTGACAGACAGAATCCAGTAGCAAAGTTCCGGATGCTACAAATGAAGATTAGAATTGAAATGTGAAGACTTTATATGTTATTGTTACAGCAATAGTTTGGAGTGTAGTTTGTAGTTCAATAAATCAACTCAACAATCCAAACCCGCGACTTAGTCACACATACACGTAACAATGTATTTGGGATTTATGAATACATAAGTATCCTACTTCAATCGAGCCTCTCTTTGACAGCCCTGGTGTTAGTAGGAGCAGAAAAACGTGTTTTAACGTAGGTCCAAAACAGATAAATCGTGTGTGGCTAATCGTCTTTTATATAACAAAAAATTCTAAGGAGAATTAAGGACCCACTTTCCTTTAATACGACACGGACCGCATAGGAAACGACGCCTCCAAAAATTCTTCTCTGACGAAAGAACTTCAGTGAGTTGTTTCCTAGCAACGATAGGGGACATATAGACAGACCCACAGACACACGTGTCCAACAGTTCTTCTATTGTTGCGTGTATTATTTGCCGCGGGGAACGTGTTTACAGAGCTGTTGCCTAGTAACGAAAGGAAGGACACATTTTACCGAGAATTTGCTCGGTAACGGTATAATGGATACACATAGAGAGACACAGACTGGTGAGAGGGATTTATCAAGCACGCCGTTGAGTTTGGT